CTTTCTTGGGGCGAAATGATGAAAAAACTATTATACATATATTTATTATTACATTAAACATTTTTTCTGTAAATACACCTGTTTGAGTAGACACTCTCTTTTTTTATTAGTTTGAATTATGACTTGCGCAATAAAGGGACTTAATAATTAAAATGTACCTTCCGGCTGGGTTCGAATCTGCATCCCCCACTGTCGGGAAAATGACTGTCTTGTCCAGCATGCTTTAAAACGCTCAACCATAGTAGTACTAATCTATTTAATGATTCATATTATTGCTAAGTAATATTTGCTATTAAATACTTGTCATTTTTCTATACGGGTATTCACGTTATGTATGATGAGGTCTAGGGCCACATCTGCGGGTTCAGGAACTTGTCGTTTTCTTAAACGGTCGAGTTGCTAGCTCCACGCTCTTCAGGCTGACATACAAATCAACTTAAACCTTACAGCTTTTATTCTTCCGACAGAAGTCGGTGGCTTACAGCAAATAAGATAAAACTATAGGAAAAAAACCCTCATCACAAACTAAATTGTCCGTTGTGCTGACAGACAAAAGGTTAAAAAAAAAGCAGACCACATGTTTAGGCCTTACTGCTCACAAAGAAAATTGATTGAAATAATTTTTTAAAAAATTCCATACTTGACAATAAAATTCCGTTTCTTGATGTATTGAAAGAAACTAATAATAATACAATTACTGCCTCCCCAAATAAAAAAAAACAAGTAGCATAAACATGTGCACCATCAACTATAAAAGTGAATGTCTCAACTATTACAAAATAGCTATTATACGAAACTTAAACCGTGCAAAAGGAAATTCTTCAGCAAAAAAGATTTTCTATACTGATTAAAAAAAATATTAAACAAACCCTCGTTAATAATGACTTTCCTAATTACATCCTTGATTAACATATGAGACGAGCTATTGGGAATATTAACATAAATAGAATTGAGCATAATACGTCATCAAATAACTCTAAACATATCAAACTACTATACCATCATCAAATGCATGTTAAATATAACCAGGAGAAAAAAAAATCTAAAAATAATCA